ATGTAAACGCACACATACACACTGATGATCAATCAATCAGAGCCTCAGACTTATATCCCATCATAAAAACATCAGGGTTTATGTTCAGTCTTTGTTCTGACTGAAGGAGGAACAGGATGAAGGTTTTCTCTGTTGTGGTTTTTTATTTATTTTATTTTATTTTTTTTTATCTGCAGCACCGAGTCCACAGGGACCGACAGAGGAAGAATCCTCCCCTTAATGACTCTGTCCACTCCGGGCGACACACACACACACACACACACACACACACACACACACACACACTCTAAATATATGCGCCCCGGGGTGTTTGTGTTCATTTACATTCAGCGTGTGTTGAAAATGCAGTTCGAACTCCCGGTGATCAGATCAACACACACACACACACACACACACACACACACACCGCTTTGTCTGTGGCACAAACCCCGACAACATCTCAGTAATCTGCTGCTGCTACTGCTGCTGTAAACTAGACACCGATGCGATGTTTTTTTTTTTTTTTTTTTTTTTTTTTTTTTTTTGCGGTGAATAAAATTGTGAAGAAACGCCCTTTTCTCCAGGAGAGGAACGGCTGATGAAGATGCTACTCCTCATCCCGACACCCTGTGGCGCTCACAAACTCCTCCTCCACTCTCAGGTTTCTGGAGACTTCCAAAGCGGAGATTTGTACTTTTTTTTTGTTGCACGAACAAATTTCCTTAAATGAGTGAAATTTAAAAACATGCTGCTGGTTTTTTTGGTTTTTTTTTTTTTTTTTTTCTGTTGCCTTTTCATAATAGTTTTTCCCAGCAGCGTCGCACATGTGGTGATGACAAATGGAGCTGGATGAACTGCCATACTGACAAAGAGTTTGTCATATTGGAGAGAGAGGGATGAAAAAAAAAAAAAATATATATATATTTAGTTATATATTTGTATATATATATGTGCCGTAAACGCAACTCAGTCTCTTAAAAAACTACAAATATTATTTCCCCAGCATAAAAAGTGAGCTCAGCTCAGCAACACAATCCACCAGAGCACGGACTACGGACCATGTGCATCATTTTTTTTTTTTTTTTTTTTTTTTTTTTTTACAATTCATTCATTCATTCAGCTCTAAGCAGCTGGAAACAGAGAACGGAGAGAATACAAAACAAGTGAAGACAGAACACGCCGAGCATGTCTTACCTGTGCAGGGCTCCTGGGTTTCCAGTGTTGCACTGTAATGAACGGACGGCGTGGAAACAGCGCAGCAGAATCAGCATCAGCATCAGCATCAGCAGCAGCATCTTGTGCCACCGAGTGTCGGATGGGAAGCCTTATGAAGTCAGCCCGTGTGTCTGAGGTGAAAGTCTCCGCCTGAAGTTTGACAGGCTGCAGCCGGGAGCTGTCCGTGGTGCCGCGGAGCTGTCCGTGGTGCTGCAGAGGATCACACGACCAGCCGCAGGATGATGCTGTGCCTTCAAATGTCACAATATCCGAACACGCAACATGAGGAACTGCAACTGACGCCCACTCTGTTCGACAAAGTGGAGTAAAAAGAATTTACAGTTAACAGATGACATCAGACGTCAGTTTAAAAAAAACAAAAAACAAAACAAAGGGATTCGACCATTTTTTAAAAAAAAATAAAAAATGCACCTGTTACCCCTCAGTGTCATTAACTGATGAAAGCTCTCTCACTCTCACTCTCCCTCTCTCTCTCTCTGTGTGAGAGAACAGACGCGTCACCCTGGGTGAGTCTCAACTCTCTGAAGGTTTTTCAGAGACAGTTGAACTCAGTGCGCAGTTGTGCAATCGCAGCCCCTGCAGGCGTGTGTTCTCATCCTGATTGTACCACGTTAACACCGTCGAAGTGCAGAGCGTGGTGCTGAACCCCGCCATCTGTGGGGGAAACACTCGAAGGCAGCGCCGCTCGTCGGTGGAGCTGTCAGGGTGGCTTTAAATACGGACTCTTTAGAGACACCCGCGTTTTTTCTTCTTTATTTATCCTCCTGTTTTATTTTAAGGAGCCGCAGACAAGTTCTGACAAAGCCCGCGGAAGTGTGAGGTCATTCCTACACTGGCGCACGACGCGAAAGGTTCGCGACCCTCATTCTCAACTCCTGACACACCAGGGTTGGCATCCAAATGTGTACGATGACACGTCCCTCGCACATTTGTCGTGACGTGTAATGAGATTAATAATTAACTTCATGGGAAGGCAATAATCCCCCTGCCCCCCCCCCCCTCCACCCCCCAAAGCCGCATGACACCCCCGCGGGCTTCACATTTCATTAAATCAGGATCTGACCCAGTGTGCCATCGCAGTCTCTCTCTCTCAGTTCCCAGACTGAGGTTTTCATTTCAACAGAAGCGCATGATGATGAAAAGTGAACGTGTGGCAGACATGTGGAGAGGGCGTCTGTCCCCGGGAGTGACAGTGGCTGTTCATCTCACTGAGTAATCAGAAGGAAAAAATAAATAAATAAAATAAATAAAATCCAGGGATCTGGACTCACCTTTAGACACCGGTGAAGAAACTTTACACTTAAAACAAGAGGGAAAACAAGCTGTTGTTTGAGAAAAGAAAGGAGGAAAGTGAACTATTTGTTGTTGTGACACAACCAAATGTGACCTCTGCTTTTAACCCATCACCAACGTGAACAGTGTGTGTGTGGGGGGGGCGGTGCCTTGCTCAGTGGTAACTTGGCAGCTGGTCTGGACTGGAACCTGCTTCCTCTGGTTTCTCCAGTGACATTCATTCAACCCCAAACCACAGAAACTAACCCTGACTTTATCTCCAGACCTCTCTCTCCACCGTGCGTCTCTAATATTCTTTTTCTAGTCGGTACCGTCCCTGAACCTGCCCCAATAAAAACCCCAACACCTTCACCATTGCCACCCCCTCTCCCCCTCCCATCTCTACATTGAACCCAGTAATATATCCCAGCAAACCTGACAGTCAGGCTGTGAAACTTCACCTTCAACTCCTGCTGCAGACCTTCTGTCACCCGTCTCCTCCTCCGACCACCGAGCTCGGCCTGAAACCTCAGTTTTTAACCTCTGTTTTTATATCGTTTGTTACCTGAGGTGGAGGAGCGTCATCATCTGTCTCTCATTTACAGCTGTATTCTTTAAACCAGCGTCTTTGTCTCAGTGGAGTAGACCTCCAAGTTCTCCAGGGTTTGGTCCAACTGCACACTCCTAAAACCTCGGAGAAAGTTTGTTTTTTTATATATATGCTGAGGTTTGGAGGTGAGCAGCTACTAATCAGCATCTGTTGATTTAGAAAAAAAAAACAAAACAAAAATCTTTGTTAATAGCTGTAAACAAAGCCGTTCTTGAACAGTGACACAAATACCAAACCAGTGGCTCAGCGGACGACCACATCACTGCAGTTCCGGCCAAGGTGACATCGGTGAGTGTTTGTCGACTGAATCCACATCTGTTGCTTTGTGCAGATTAATGAAGACGAAGGTGAAGGTCAGGGTCAGGGTCAGGGTCAGGGTCACCGCTAACACAACCACAGATTCAGTTTTTTATTATTTTGAATTTTGAATTTTGACCATATTTACTCAACAACAGAGCAGAGACAGTCGTCAAAGTTAGTGCGTGGTATTATATCAAAGTTAGTCGACAGCCAATCTGGTAAAAACAACACAGGAAGTCATTTAAAAATTTTATTACAGCACTGACACATACATTACAGCTAGTCTGTGGGATTGTGGGAAGTTTTGGCTACAAAGAGAGGAGGAGAATGGTTAAAAAAATAAAAATAAAAATGACTAAATACTTTGTGTTTCCTTCAGGAGAAATCGTTGTCTTTGTCCCCTCTGTCCCCTCCAACAGTGGACAGTGTACTGATGTCCTCAGACCTGAGACGACAACGTTCCCCAGGACTTACATGAGGACATGGGAGGGTCGAGACCCCGGCGATCGTCATCCCTCACGTCTTCGTCCGAGTTAATACAGCACACGGAGACACCACACTTACTGCACACAAACACTTGACCTACGTCCCCTCAGGACGAGACGATGGAAGTGGGGGACGGCTTTAGAGGTGAGACAAGGAGGAGAACAAATTGAGTTAGAAACATGAAATGAAATTAAAAAAAAAAAAAAAATATGCTGATGGTGAACCGCAGCACGACGTGTACGAGAGAAAGAAGTTTATGTTGGAAGAAGAAGTCAGTGGTGATAATAGTTGATATATGGTTGAAGGTTGGGTTTAATGAGCGTTTGGATGGTAGTAAAGGGTGAGGAAAGGTGTTTGAAGAGAAATGCTTCAGATCCACTGTCAAGATTAACATGACCAACAGCAGCAACAACAGCTGACAAGTGTTTAGTGCCGACGTCTCACATCTCTTCATCCTCCTCCTCCTCTCTACTCCTCTCCGTCCCCCAAGGACTCCTTCTTCTCAGACATAAGTTCATCAGCTTCTCTGGCTCCACCTTCAGCCTGAGGGGGGAGCTGCTGCTGCTGCTGCTGCTGCTGCTGCTGCTGCTTCTCCCCCCGCCCCCTCTCCTCACCCTCCTCTCCCGCTCCCACTCCCCCCTGCTCCTCCTGATCCATGTCGAGCTCCTCGAAGGACGAGCCGCTGCCCACGGAGCGGTTCGAGTCTCTGTCGCTGTGGTCCCTGTGTTTAACGTCTTCGTTTGCGTCCAGGACGTCCCTCAGCGGCAGAGAGGACGCCAGAGACGCAGCGGTGGAGGCAGCCAGGGACGTCTCTCTGCTGTCCCAGGGCACGCCCCCGCTCACTGAGCTCACGTCGCTGTGGGAGTCGGCACCTGTCGGAGCACAGATCAAACATTAGGGTTTTTTTTTTCTATTTTATTATTTAGAGAATTAAACGCATAAAATCAAAATGTATTCAGAACAAACAAAGAAACGCAGTAAAAAATCAAATCAAATCACATTTAATAGTACCTTTATAAAGTCCTTAATTCCTGTCAGAGTAGTAGCACTGGAGTACCCACTCCAGGCCAGCAGGTGGCAGTAAAATCACCAGAGTTTGTTTGCCAGTCAGAAGACAACTTTCGGGACACGACTATTAAGAAACTTTGATGAACAACGTCGGACGACAAGTGTTCGACTTTTATCCGACGACAGTTTGATTTCGTTTTAAACTTCCCGATGGAAGCTCGGCTAGGGGCCTGGGTTTGCGAGTACGAAGACCAGCGCTAACCACAGTTAGCCACGACACAACTTGTTTTGAGAGTTTTTTTCCTTTTTGTAAAATGTTTTTTTGTTTGTTTGTTTTTTTTCACGTTTTGAACAAGTATATAAATTTGGGAAAAATGCAATACAAACTGAATCATTTGACATTGAGTTTTGATTTGACTGATTTTCTGGATCACATGCCGGCCAGTCTGGTCACATACAGGACATGTATTTTACATTTATCCAGAAATCCATGAACTTATTCGTCACCATCTCTCGGGTCCAACTGAAATCTTTTTTCTCAATTAGTGTCAGTTTAAGGTTAATTCAGTCAAATGTTTTCACGATTATTGTTTGGATAAATAAACCAAAGTCGTCATGTGACCTGCGGCTCAGTGAACGATGCCTTCAGGTTCAGGAAGAGTGCCGGTTTTCACAACGCCACACAACGTCCCAGTTCTATTTTAGTAATTGTCCCAAACCTCAGTTTCCTCCAGCCAAGAACACAGGGAGGAGTATTTAAAGTTCAATCTCCAGTCGGTGACAACAGAGTTCACTGTGAGCGAGTCGTGCAGTGAAGCCACTTGTGTGAATGAGTTTTAAATTCCATCTTCTTTATCGGCGATGAGACGCAGACAGAGCTGCTCAAAGAAAGACTCGGATCGTCCGGTCAGCTGGCGTTCATCCAATCGGCTTTTAATAATTTTAAATCAATACTTAATTACCGTGATTCTGACCTCGCCGCTTTCAGCCGTAACCTGGTTTTCAGATCTAATGTCCCACTGCTGAGCTCAGCTCAAAAGATCGGCCATCTTTGAAATGAAGTTGCTTTTAATTATCTGGCCTCGTGGCTCTCTGCAATTAACTGTGTTTCAGAGGGCGGCCATGTTCTGACTGCTGCTGCTGCTGCTGCTGCTGCTGCTGCTGCACATGACACACACATCTGAAACCACCACAAACAACGTCCATTAGAATAATTGGCCAAAGTCCCTGCACCCACAGCATCGACTCTCTACAGCTCACCGACTCAACTCCGTTTTAATTGGCCTTGATGCCGTTCTCATGGACCAACCAGCTCTTCATCTGCCCCGACGTCTTCAGCGATGATAAATATACCAGCGTGGAAGGTCGTCAGTTGTCGTTACAGACAGAAAAAATGGCTAAATGAGAACAACGCCGTTCTTTTTTTTTTTGTAGGAAAACCACTAACAAATTCCTCCCACACAGAGAACATCATCAGTGAACGTTTCACAGCTCAACGACCGGGGAGACTCAGAGGTGTGAGCAAAGAATACATCAACGGAATTCAGAAAAATGTCACAGGTACAGAAAATAACTTCAAACATATATATATATTTTGCAGTAGGTAGGGCAACTGGAAGGGTCGTGGGTTCGATTCCAGGACTTGTTAGATCATATGTTGTCAGGTTTTCTGCTGTAGCTCCATTTTTATTTTTCTTACAAAGCAGAGTTTATACCCCCGACTTTACTTCACCAGCCCACAGGACACTGAGCGGTGCTGTCCAATCCTGTTTCCTGCTGTTTTCACACTCCAGATGAATCCCATCGACACATCACGGGGCCTCTGCAGCAAACAGTCCATCTGGGACACGGACACGATAAGCAGGGAGTCTCTGAGCTCCACACCAAGGTCACGCTGTTCCCTTTATACGACGGAATTTCAGGAAATAAAAAAGAAAAATCTAATTATCACATCCGACGGACGGGCTCCTGCAGCAGCTCGGGACGTAACGTATGAGAAGGCCATTAAAGCTATTTGTTTATCGTCTATTTATGAGCCTGTTGATTGGCCTGCAGGTCCGAACACGACCGTCAGGAGCGAACGTAAACGGAGAATGAATGGGAGAGTACACACACACACACACACACAAGATACTATTGTAAATTACATTTAATTTGCACATAGATAAAAAAATAAATAAAATAAATCCCCCTCCGGGGGAGCTGTTGTACAGCGTGTGCTATTTTGTAAGAAATAATGCGTCCATTTAAAACAACTGGGGAGGAGATCGACCTCGGGAGCAGCGGCTGCTCACAGGACATTAGTCCAGTTTTACAGCAGCGGAGGAATTCCAACTCTCTGGCATCCTGGTAAAAACTGTCTGTTCCTCTATAAGAAGGTTCGACTAAAACGCTGGTTAAATTGGGCCCAGTGGGATTATTAGCACAGCGCTGCCTTCGTCTTCAAACTATTAGAAACAGGGACGGCTGATAATTGAACAAACACGGAGGGTAAGTCTGAGAGTCTGAACTTCTAATGAACGTTCGAGTAAACAAGACGCCGCTAAAAGACAACAACAGTCACGCTCACCCTGGAAATGTTCTTTTAAGTGGCAACAAATGGGATTTAGCAACATCTGGTGGTGAAGTTACACACCTTTTCACCTGGTTATCTTTTTATAATTATCAAAAATGTAAAATGCCTCTTATTTTTGGGATAGGAAAATCAAACTATTTACGACAGTTCTTTGGTGCTTATTGTGCAGAAAAAGCACAATAAATAACACACACAGATACAGAGAAAGCACAATAAATAACACACACACACAGATACAGAGAACAGAAAACAGAATTATTAAGAGATGAAGGTGATCATTGAACTCAAATTCAAAATAAGATGAGTTTAGCCCTCGGCTATAGCCCCCGTCCTATTGGACGATCTGACGATCCGGTCGCCCTCTACTGAGGCTGACTCGTAGTAATGTTTTTTTTTCTACAATAAAAAAGAATTTTATTATGTTCACAAACGGTTTATCAACGAAACCCAGTGGCGTATTTAACACCGAGGATTGTGGGTATATTTACAAGATTAACAAGCTGCGTGCAGCTTTTACAGCCGTGTCTGTCTGTGATCAGTGTCTGTGATCAGTGTCTGTCTGTGATCACTGTTTCCAGTTAATGAGCAGAAAATAAACGCAGTATTTACGCAGATTACAATCCTGTCAGTTTTATAACAACAACAACTTTTTGTGTTTTCTATTAAATCAGTTTATTTTGTAGATAAAAGATTAAATGTTAGTTCATCCACATGTGAAACAAATATTTATTATTAAACCCAATTAAATGATTAAAAAAGTCAAATCTGACTGTATCCCAGCTGAACAGTCCAGTGATGTTTCTGGAAGAAGTCGTTGTTCTTACCCTAAATCCTAAAATAGACTTTTTTTTGCTCAGCTCTTTCCCCTTTTAAATAATACATCACGTAGGAGTTTGTGCCACGTTTCAGGGCACATCGCAGGTTTTTTTTTTTCGGTTTTTTTTCCCAGGCTCCAGTTGAAGTCTCTGGGACCTTTTTTTATTCTGTGTTTTCTGCGTTATTTCTCGACTCTCGGACATCGTCCTGTTCGATGCTACACTTCAACACCACCAGGTGGTGGAGCACACAGATCCGTCCGCAGCTGGTTCGAGCAAACTTTAACTGATCAGCTGCTCATTAACAACTCTTTGAAATGAAGTTTCTAAAGAGGTCACAGAGGTCAGACAGTACGAACCTAAACTTCTGGACTGAACGTTTTTCCATGCAGAGGTCAGACAGTACGAACCTAAACTACGGGACTGAACTCTGTTTGTTGTGAACACGACTCAGCAGCTGAAAGTTAATAGAACGTTTTTCCATCGTCTTGATAATCGGATATTTAGACGAATAAAATATCATTACAAGTGCAACGCAACATGTTCAGCATCACTGTTAGACCTGACTGTGTTTGTCTAACTGAGTTAATTCAATAATAAAACGAGGCACAGACTTTCTTCCAAGGATGACGTCTAATAATCTGAGTGGGTTTTAAATTTAAACTTCTGAAAACAGTGTTTCCATCAATGAATTCCTTCACACCAGGTGATGATACACCAGGCTGGGGAAAGTAAAACACTTCAATAATTACGACAGGTTTTCATTCAAGCTGGGCTGAAATTTTCAACTCATTAAAATTTTAAAGCATTTTTGAGAGTTGAGAAATCACAGCTGACAAAAATAAAGTGGTGAAACTTGTCAAAGTGGCTTTAATGATGAATCTCAGACACGTCTGATGTCGTAGCTCCAGTGTCTTTGACTCAACCAGGTATATGATGATACGACAGGACGTTTGCTCAACACGGATCCAAATGAATGGGCAGGTGTCGTGTGTAATGAAATTTAATAAAGAAACTGCTGATTTCACCTGGTTTATAAAGTTTCAACTCTCAAACGGTTTGGTGTCAGAATGAGACTCTACTTCCTGCGGTAGAATTTTCTTTTTGTTTCAGAGGCTAAAACAAAAAGAAAAAAAAAAAACAAAGGAAACACACCATTGAACGTCTCTTCCTCTCTCTTCATATTAATTGACTTTGGAAGATTAAACTCATTCTCTCTCACTGCTCCACTGGTTCCACTGCCCTATGAAAATGTTTTGCAGCTCTTCAGCTCTTTGTCAGTAACTTTCTCATCTGTTACAAAGGCAAACAGTAATCTAGACTTGGTCTCGGTCCAGCGACGCCGACAAACTCATTTAAAGTTGTGAACGGCCTCGACTCTCAGCGCGGCGTAACGTCGGCGGCTCCACGGACGAGACCCCCGCTGGGCCTGGACGAGGACGAGGACTCGTCATCGGCACCGCCGCTCTTTCACCGGGTTATAAAACCTGAACAACATGTGAACGTTCTGTCAGATTTTTTTTTTTTGTTTTTTTTTTCTGGTTCTGCTCTGCTGACGTCCGAGCCGTGTTTAAAAGAGATGTTGTGTGATGTCGGTGGAGGAAACGCTGACACCTGCTGTTAATCAAAGCGACCCACACCAACTGTGGACCATTAATCCAGGGCTGTTTACTTTCCCGGGGATTCGTACGATGACAAAGTCGATAAAGCCATGGTTCC